TATACAGAGTATCAAATACTGTAAAATATCTAGAGAGGCAAAAATCCAATCAATAAACAGGAGAAACAGTATTCCAAGGGAAAACTGCCCACTCCAAACTTTGCTGAAGTCCAAAAATGACTACTGCTTCTATTACCAAGGGAATTTCTCAGAAAACACTAACTCAGAACCTAATAAGGAAAATGCTCAAATTTCTGTTCCTTAGTAATATATATATATTCTACTAGGTACTAAAATAGTCAACTGATAATAAACAATGCCGTCAAACAGTAGTTGCAAAGGTCTAGACAAAGTTAACTAAAATCATACAGTAATAGATTTTGTTCTATGTAATTTAGAATAGAGAAGTCACAGTAGCTGCTACAGGCTTTACCTATTTTAGTTCAGCTACTTAAAGCTCAGGAAACGACTACTTTTATTCATTGTTGAAACAGACCTCATAACCCTGGTATTAAATGAGACTTCAGTCTTTTCAGAAAACATAAAAAGGACAGAAGTTCTCATTCTGAAGCAATTTTAAAGTATTTTTTCCTCTGTCCAAGATAAGTAATTCTTTCTACTAGTTAAAAGGAATTTCTTGAAGCTGCTTTAGAGTACCAGATTTTGATGACTGGATCAGGCTACCACAGATAGTTATATGATACAGGAATGTAGGCCTAATGTGTCATGTATTTCAATTTTTCAAGACAAGCCAAAATAGGAGTTACATGAACTCTTCTAATGTTTAACTTGGGAAGCAACTGAAATTAAAGGGGATAAAACTAATACCACGAAGGTCAAATAATATACATCTATGGGATAATTTGTGATCTCTGGTGAGGCTAAACCTTGAGTAGCACAAACAGAAGAGGATAAGAATCCTAAGTAGGTAACAGGCACCAAGAAAGGAAAAAAAAAACGTGTGCTATAATAAACACAGTGGCCTGGTACTAAAGTGAAAGAATACCTATTACTAATAATTACTAATAAATAACATTTTCTTTTGTTTAACAAGAGTTGAGAAAACAATTTAAGCTACAATGGACATAATGAAGACTCAATAATTATTAAGTACAATTACCAAACTTATCCGGTAGCATAAATTCCATATTTAATGATAGGAGTTAGAGAAAATAATGTATCAACTGTTAGTGTGCTGCTACAAATTTACTTCTGAGAAAGAGAGTGTCTTTGGAATTTGAACTTTAGGCCTTTTGAAAAACTGAAGAAAACAGTTTCCACTGTCATATCCATTAACAGACATGTTTTTTAAAAAAGATATAAAAATAATTAAAGAGGTAAGGAAGCAGAGATAGAAAACTGTTTCATTTCAAATTTAATCTTAACTTTTAATAAGCCAGTAAAGGTAGAAGATGGGTGCTAATGTTTACTGAACATTCAGGAATATCAGAACTAGCTTATACAAAAGGGAATCATAGTGTGCTTCTATCTTAAGTAAGAGAAAGACCTAACCTTGTTGTTATATGCCGTAGTCGGACTCGACTCATAGCGACCCCTCCTTGGGTTTCCAAGGCAGTATCATTACGGAAGTAAGACTGCCTCATCTTCCTTCCGAGGAGTGGCTGGTGGTTTTGAACCTCCAGCCTCTGGTTAGCAGTCAAGTGTCTTAGGCACTACACTACCAGAGCTCCCATATACCTAACCTTAGAGAGCTCAAAAGGTATTAAAATTTAATAAATTAAAACTAGGATTAAATACTGAAAGAAGCCAAGATGTCTCACGAGCTTTCACTCTTTGAAGATTAAGCTGGGTCTTAATGCTTTTGAAAATTTGAGAAAAACTAGTGAATAAGGTGAGGCATATAACACCCCCACCAAAAAACAAAACAAACAAACAAAAAAAAAACACCATTAATGAGGGTGACCACATAGCTGCTTTTTAAGAGACATTATGTGCTAAATGAAGGTAAGGGTATGTTCAGGATCCTGCCTCTACTAGTACTTAACCACTACTATAATAATTTGATGGAAGATGCAAACTAGGGATTACTAATATAGGGTTGAATGTACTTACCTATTATCTCAGATTCATAATAATCCTGTGTGCCTTCCTGGAAGACAAGACAGGGTGCCTTTATGATTTTAGAGCATGAATTTTGAAAATGGTAGGTCCATTTGTATTTAAGTTCATGTCCATCAAAGAGGAATGCAAAATAGGACCTACCTCCTGTTGGGGGTTATTTAACTATCCCGAGGTAAATTCAAGGATCCTTATAAATCATAAGTGTAGGGAAGAGTTAAACTATAAAAAACTTAGTACTACTTTTTGTTGCTGTTGTTTATTTATATGCTTATAACATTCTGTTTCCATATTCTACCATTTGCATTAAGAAGGCAGCATGAAGAAAGGTGGGAAAGCTTGCATTTCAATCAAATGAACTAAAGAACACCCTACTAAAAACAAAACCAAACAACAAAAACCAAACTCATGCTACATCTATTTTTTTCTCTCAATACCTAGGATGAGCTTTTGATTAAGGTGAAAAAATAAACTCACATACATTTATTAATCATACCAGCTAAAGATTTTACCCAGACCACAGATATATTCTAATCAGTGGATAGGTAGTCTGTGAATGAATATTCTGGATAATCTAGATGAACACTTTATAAATGTTTACAACAAAACAAAGACTTCAAATGATAATGATGTGTGTCTATCAAGTGAAGCCAAATGATATCACAACATCACATGTACTTGAAATTCTTTCAGTAGTGCTAATAGAGCAGGGTCTCTTAACCTCAATGCTACTGACATTTTGGGATGGCTAATTCTTTGTTGTGGGGGGCTTCCCTGTGCATTTGCATAATGTTTAACAGTGTCCCTGGCCTCTGTGCACTAGATAGTAGTAGCAACCCCCCCAGTTTTGACAATCAAAAATATCTCCAGACATTGCCAAATGTTCCATGGAGGGGGAGGGAGCGAGGCGCCGCTGGCAAAATTCTCAGGTTAAAAAACCACTGTAAAGAGAAAAGTGGTGAAAAAATAGAACTCAATCACTCAATCACCACAAAGTCCACAGGAGAACACACACATCAAATTCAAAGGAACCAGAGTTGTAACAGTTCTTACTACATTCAAAATTGACAGCAGCATCACTAAAACATGCCCACTCATATTACATTAATGTTGTCAATGTGGAAGTTTACTAGTTTTTATTTTGGTTAAGATTTAATTTGTGAACGTTTTGCTTTGGTAGAATTTTTTGTTTTCCCTTAAAAGTGAGTCAGTGCATTATCCAAGCTGGAGTTACACCTTTTTTGTTTCTTTTTCTCTAACTGAAACTTCATTCAAAAGATTTCTCATCAACAAAAAATGTAACCCTTTTAAGTGTACTTTTTGTCCATGAAGTTTCTTCTGTAGTTTTTTAATTTACCACAGATATCTTTTAATTGAAGAAATTCTGTACAGCCCACAAAGGTGGACATGTACTTTTGGATACTAAATGTCTTATTTAGCTTTTGTTGCTAATTTCATTAAAAAAAAACAAACAAACAAAAAAAAAACTTACAAATCTAAATTATAAATACACCAAGCAACTGGAAAAATTAGTGCACAAGCAGTATTCATTCTTGCTTTCTTCTTTCTTGATAGATGATTCTTTGAAGGAGTAAGTTATCAAATTGTTGATAGATTTTGTTCACAGATATACTCCCTACATTTCTCTTCTTTGAATTATACAGTGCTGACAAAATATTAAAACAATGTACAAAGGTGTAAAAAGTTAAAAAGCTGTCTTGAATACAAATACAAATTAATCCTTTTAAAACTCAATCAATAAAAGAATCTTAAATTGTTAAGCGTGGTTAAATGTGAAAGAGATAGTTGCAAAAGTATGCTATCATAACCAGTTTATATACTATCCCCACGCTATTAAAAATAAAAATTAAAGCTTGCCTTTTACTTATGCACTAAAATCTTATGGTTGGTGGGAAGATTAAGTAGTTGTTCTAAAAAAAAAATTTTCAGTCAACAGTTCTACCTGAAGAGATTATCATTCCAGTGATGTTCATATTACTAGTTTAATAAATATAACTACTGTTCCTCCAAACACCGAGTTCTGTTAAAGTCACCCAAGAGCAAATGGCTCAAAATTCTTTAATAATCTAGAACTCTCCTATAGAGATCTGAAGATTCATTTCCTTCTTCAAAAATTCCCCAGAGAAATTAATGCCATCTTCTTTATACCAGTAACTAGTTAGGTACAAGTTTCTTTTCTAAACTGATTTATATATTTAGAAAAAAAAAAAAGACTTCAAAGTGTAATTCCTTTTTTCAGCAAGCTCTTCAACATGCATAATAGTTTTTTGTTCAAAGTCAAGACAGCTTCTAATTTTATTTTCCTTATCAATATTTATCTACCTTCCAAGGCATACTGGGGAGCTCTGGTAGCACAGTGCCTAAGGCAGTTGACTGCTAACCAGAAGGCTGGTGGTTAAAACCCACCAGCCACTCCTCGGAAGGAAGGTGGGGCAATCTACTTCCGTAGTGATACCGCCTCGGAAACCCAACGAGGGGTCGCTATGAGTTGGGGCCAACTCCACGGCACATAACAACAACAACAACACAACAAAGCATAGTGAATAACCAAATAACTTAGTGATAAGAAATCGAAGCCAATAAGCATATAGAAAATGAAAGACCACAGTCTAACTTTTCAAAATTTAGCATGTTCAGAAAAGGGAAGAAAGGGAAACAAAGCTAATAAAAATTTAGAAATAAGTTAAAGCCAAAAACTTTATGTAAGATTTATGAAACTCATACCTCTTCATTCTACTTAAAATCATTGTTTGGATGCTGGGGAGAGGAAGATATATATATATAAGACCACTGCCATGTATAAAATCAAATATGCCAGATGACTTTGGATAAAGACCAACAGACAAAAGAAACTGTATTCACCAAGTTCTTTTGGGTACACTCATAAAATTCTACGGATACAACAACAGGCAAAGTATCTGTTTCTTTTAACAGTTATCAGGTAGGTAACTTTTCCTCACCTGCTTATGTGCATGATCATACGAATTGATATGGTTGTCAAATTCCTGATGTTTCTGATATTGCTTATCACAGAGTTCACAGTAGAAGTTGGCCCTGAGGTCTTCCAAGGCTTTTGCAATTGCCTTCTCTTTGTCAACATAATCCTGTAAGAACCACAAAAAATACAAATAAACAAAAAATCAATTTGGTAAAGATTTTAAGTAAACACTATAAAGAAAGTTGTCCTACCTGAAGAGAGGAAAAAGGTTGATAAATTTAATGGTATCAGTAAAAGTTGGATAGAGTACAAGTGGTAATTTGGTGCGTTGGGGGCTGATTTTTGTGGTTGCAGTAACCGTTATTTTCCAATAAACTAAAGTTCAAAAGGAATTTAACTTTAATTTCTCTTTTGGCGGTATGATAAGCTAGATACTCTGCCATGCCCTGTTCCTAAGTTACATTCTAACTGGCTAACCAACCACTTTCAACATAAAACACATTTTTTACTGCATTGCTGGATTGGAAGGAAGAAAGGTAAATCACCAAAAGGGGCAACTGGAGAAAACAAACAAAAAAATCAACCATGATTCTGAAACCAGAGTATAAAAAGCAAGGGGTCTCCTGAAGATATGTGGGTGACACTGGGGGCCTGAGGTTTGAACAAAGTGGACGAGCTAAGTGTGAGATTCCTCATTAAACAAAAGAACCTGGAAGTGGGCTAGAAAGATCCCAGGATCTCTGGGTCTTGGTAGGAGGAACACAAATCCTCTCAGAAAGCATCCTCAATTTTGATCTAAAAATTTCCTTAGGTTAAAATCAACCAAATATGAGTTACAATCAAAGATCACTGTATACAAAAAAATAATTTATCATAAGTGAGAATTAGTGGAAATAAGCCATAGATTGAGGTGCCAAGAATTTCAGATTCTAGCATAACCTATTATAGAATATAAAATAACTACAAAACGTTTAAAAATAAGATGGAATTACAAAAATAAGCATGATAAAAACAAGTAGGCAGGCAGATCCCAGTAGCTCAGATGGTGGGTGGATCGGCAACAGCCAGGCAGCCAGGTTTGCAAAGGCTCTTGGACAACTGCAGCTTGCAGGCAGCTGGCACGTGGGAATGGTCCCTCTGACAACATGACCAAAGTACTTAAGACAAAGTCTGGCCAATCTTGCTTTTAAGGAGCATGTCAGCTGTACTTCCTCCAAGACAGATTTGTTTGTTCTTCTAGCAGTCCAGAGTATAGTCAACATTCTTCACCAACACCACAATTCTAACTCATCAATACTTCTGAATTCCTTATTCACTGTCCAGCTCTCAAAGTACATTTAAGGCTTTGAAAACACCATGGCTTATGTCACATTCACTTCAGTCTTCAAAGAGACAATTTTGCTCTTCATCACTTGAAAGAGGTCCTTTACAGCAGATATGCCCAGTGCAATATGTCGTCTGATGTCCTGACTGCTGCTTTGATTGGTGTTGGTTGTAGAAACAAGAAATCTTTGACAACTTCAATCTTTTCTCCATTTATTGTGCTGCTGCTTACTGGTCCAGCTGTGAGGATTTTCGCTTTCTTTTTGTTGAGGTGTAATCCATACTGCAGACTGTACTCTTTAATCTTCATCAGGAAGTGCTTCAAGTTATCTTCACTTTCAGCAAGCAAGGTTTTGTCGTCTGCGTATCACAGATTGTTAATGAGTCTTCCTCCAATCCTGATGCCACACACTTCTTCATATAGTCCAGCTTCTTGGATTATTTGCTCAGCATACAGACTGAGTAAGTATGAGGAAAGGATACAACCCTGACACACTCCTTTCCAGATTTCAAACCATGCAGTATTCCTCCCTTGTTCTGTTCAGAAGGCAGCCTCCCGGTCTATGTACAGGTTCCTCATGAGTACAAGCAAGTGTTCTAGAATTCCCATTCTTCTCAATGTTACCCATCATTTGTTATGATCCACACGATCGAATACTTCTGCACAGTCAATAAAACACAAGTAAACATTTTTCTGGTATTCTTTGCTTTTAGCCAAGATCCATCTGACATCAGCAATGATATCCCCTGTTCTATGTCCTCTTCTCAATCCAGCATGCATTTCTGGAAGTTCTGTCAATATACTGCTGCAACCATTTTTAAATTATCTTCAGCAAGATTTTACTTGTATGCGATATTAATGATATTGTTTGATAATTTCCACATTTTGTGGTCATCTTTTTGGAATGGGTACAAATACGGATCTCTTCCAGTCAGTTGGCCAGGTAGCTCTCTTCCAAATCTCTTGGCATAGCTAAGTGAGTGCCTCCAGCATGGCATCTGTTTGTGGAAACATCTCAATGGGTATTTTGTCAATTCCTGAAGCCTTGTTTTTCGCCACCTCCTTCAGTGCAGCTTCGTCTTCTTCCTTCAATACCATTGGTTCTTGATCATATGCCACCTCCTGAAATGGATGAACATTGACCAATTCTTTTTTGGTACAGTGACTCTGTGAATTCTTTCCATCTTTTTTTGACATTTCCTGCATCATTCAATATTTTGCCCATAGAATCTTTCACTATTACAACTCCAGCCCTGAATTTTTTCTTCAGTTCTTCCAGCTTGAGAAAAGCCAACAGTGTTCTTCCATTTTGGCTTTCTAACTCCACGTCTTTGCACATTTCATTGTAATAACTGCCTTTGTCTTCTTGAGCTGCTCTTTGAAATCTCTGCTCAGCTCTTTTACCTTGTCATTTCTTCCATTTGCTTTAGCTACTATCTGTTCAAAGGCAAGTTTCAGAGTCTCTTTTGACATCTATTTTGTACTCTTCTTCCTTTCCTGTCTTCTCAGTGACCTCTTGCTTTCTTCATGGATGGTGTTCGTGATGTCATCCCACAATTCCTCTGGTTTTCAGTCACTGGTGTTCAATTCATCAAACCTTTTCTTTAGATGGTCTCTAAATTCAGGAGGGATATAACCAAGGTCATATTTTGGCTCAGGACTTGTTTTAATTGTCTCCAGCTTCAACTTGAACTTGTGTATGAGCAGTTGATGGTCTGTTCTAAAGTCAGCTCCTGGCCTTGTTTTGGCTGAAGATACTGAGCTTCTCCATTGCCTCTCTCCACAGATGTAGTTGATCTGTTTCCTGTGTACTCCATCTGGCGAAGTCTGATACGTATAGCTGCTGTTTACGTGGTTGAGAAAAAGGTATTTGCCAATGATTAAGTCACTGGTCTTGCAAAACTCTATCATGCGATCTCCACTGTTATTTCTATCATCAAGGCCGAATTTTCTAACTACCAGTGATTCTTCTTTGTTTCCAACTTTTGCATTCTCATCACCAGTGATAGTCAAAACATCTTGATAGCATGTCTGGTCAATTTCAGACTGGAGAAGTTGGTAAAGTCTTCATTTTCCTCATCTTTGGCTTTGGTGGTTGGTGCACAAATTTGAGAAGTACTATTAAGTGGTTTTCCTTGTAGCATATGGATATTATCCTATCACTGAGGGCACTATACTTCAGGACAGATCTTGAAACTTCCTTTGTGATGATGAATGGCACGTCATTGCTCTTCAATTTCTTGTTCCCAGCATTATAGATCATATGGTTGTCTGATTCAAAATAGCCAAAACCAGTCCATTTCAGCTCACTAATGCCTAGAATATCAATCTTTATGGGTTCCATTTCATTTTTGACAACTTCCAATTTTCCTAGATTCATGCTTTGTACATTCCATGTTCTGATTATTAATGGATGTTTGCAGATGTTTCTTCCCATTTTGAGTTGTGCAATGGAAGTCCCAAAAGCTTTACTCCATGCACATCATTAAGGCTGGCTCTACTCTGAGGAGACAACTTTTCCACAGTTGTATTTTGAGTGCCTTCTGACCTGGGGGACTCCTCTTCTAGCACTATATTGGAAGATGTTTCAGAATAATTCATAGTTTTCAAGTAATATATCAGTGTTTCCCTCCTATTCATAAGGTTTCACTGGCCAATTCTTTGAAAAGCGGATGGACCTTTCTCCCTTCTGAGTCTTAGTCTGGAAGCTCCGCTGAAACATGTCCACCATGGGTGACCCTGCTGGTATTTGAAATACCGGTGGCATAGCCTCTAGCTTCACAGCAACATGCAAGCCACCACAGTATGCCAAATTGACAGGTAAGTGGTAGACTGAAGGCTGCAGTCTCTGATACTCATCAGTAGTGCTTCAAGTGCTCTTCACTTTCAACAAGCAAAGTAGTGTCATCTACGTAATTGCAGGTTGTTTATGAGCCTTCCTCCAATCTTGATGTTGTGCACTTCATATAACCCAGCTTTTCAGATTATTTGCTCAGTGTGCAGATTAAGTATGGTGAAAGAACACAACCTGACACACACCTTTCCTGATTCTGAACCATACAATTAATCACCTCTTGATCTATTCTTCATGAGCACAATTAAGTGTTCTGGAATTCTCATCCTCCACAATGTTACCTACAATTTATTATGAAATACACAATCGAATGCCCACTCTTTGAGTTAGTCCCACAATTTTGAGCCAAAATCTCATTAAGACCAATGGATAACCAACATATCTGTGGGCTGGCTTTCCAGAATTAGGAATGCAGCTCAGCTTACTTAGAAAATTACTTAACTCCGTAACTGGCACTAGTCTCAAGAAATACTTTTTGCTTTGTTGTTGTTGTTATGTGCCACTGAGTCAGACCCGACTCATAGTGACCCCTCCTTGGGTTTCCGAGATGGTATCACTACGGAAGCAGATTGCCCCACCTTCCTTCCAAGGAGTGGCTGGTGGGTTTAAACCACTACCTTCTGGTTAGCAGTCATGCGTGCCTTAGGTACTATGCTACCACAGCTCCTACTTTTTGCTTTAAAGTCTGAAAAATGAAATATATTAACATAGTTCCTTTAGCTTTCTTTTGGTTAGTATTTGTCTAGCATATCTTTTCCTATCCTTTCAACTTTCCAACTTCTCAGGTTTTAAGGGTATCTCTTGTAAACAGCATGCAGTTGGACTTTGCTTTTCTGACAATGCTTTAATATATTTCTTGTGATTACTCATAAATCTATTTCTATTATCTTTTAATTTTCTATTTCCTAATTTTTTCTTGTTGTTCTATGTTACTTTTGTAAAATTAAAGTTTTCTTATTCTTTGGGCCCCCTTCCCCACTATTTCTATTCTCTTAAAAACTACCCTTGAAATTTTAATGTAAATTATGCTTACTCTGGAGGCATTTATGGTTCAGTGGTAGGAGTCTCACCTCCCAGGTGGGAGACCCAGGTTTGCTTCCTCACCAGTGCACCTCATGTGTAGCTACCATCCCTCAGTCACTGGAGGCTCGCCTATTACTGTGATATTGAACAGATATTTGGGGAGCTTCCAAACTAAGACAGAGTAGGAAAAAAGGCCACGTTATCTACTTCCAAAAATCAGTCAATGAAAACCCTATTGATCACAGTGGTCTGATTTACATCAATCATGTGGATGGCACAGGACTATGCAGTGTTTTGGTTCACTGTGCAAGGGGTTGCTTATGAGTCAGGGTCCAATTCGATGGCAGCTATTACATGCTTACTTTATATTTCACTTTTACCTCTTTTTCAGTCCTGCAAACTAGTTGTTCTTATTGACCAATATATTTATCAATTTCATTGCTCACAGTTTACTTTCAGTATTTCTGACCTTCCTTTTGTCATCATTTTCATTCCCTAAAGGAAACATCCTTTGAAACAATGACTTTCACGTCCACAATAAGAAATATGTTTTTTATTACAATCATACATGCCACTGAAACTAATGTTTTACAAAAAAATATTTACTGTTATTATGTGAAATACACTCTGATAGTTGCTTTTTAAAAAAAAAAAAAAATTTTTATTGTGATTTGGGTAATTTATAGAGGAAATTCATTTTTCACACATAACTTTGTCTCATGACATTGACTGCAATTTCCCACAATGTAACAGCTCTCTTTCCACTTCCTCTCCACAGTTACCTCCTTCCCTGTGTCCTTCCCTCTCATGTACTCCTGCCTCCCTGTTTGTATACAGCCCTTCTATTCTCCCATGACTGATCTCTCCAAGGAGTGTTTCTACCTAATGTAAATGTTCAGCTCATATGCCTTGCCTGTCTTTTGTTTAGTTGGAAGTCACAAGAATGGGTTTAATTCCAGACCTGAAGGGCTGCTAGGGGCCATAGTCTCAGTGGTTCCAACTGGCTCTATCAGACCAGCAAACCTGGTATTCCCCCCGCACATCCCCCCCTTTTTTTTTCTATGATTTTGAGTTTTGTTCCACAGTGTTCTCCCACTCTATCCAGGATCTCCTACCTAGACCCAGAAAAGATTCTTACAAAAAGTCCTTTTTTCTCTTTGCACTGCAAGTTGTCACAACCAAAATCAGTTTCTGTATGATAAAATTAACTAAGCCAACTTTTATCTTCAAATGTATTTGGTACAGATTGAGCACTCTTTTAAAAAGCTAACCTACTATATGTATGAAGGTCCACAGTTTTCGATAGCTACCTCCCTCAAAGAGAAAAATTAATTCAACTTAATACTTCCATACAACAGAATAAATCTCTACATTAGAACTGAGTTTAATTAACAATGAACAGAAAGTTTTCAATTATTTTATTGAAATTATTTATTATTAAAATTAAATTTATTATTTATTATTAAAATACCTCAATCACTAAAAGAAAGAAAAAAAAAAAAAAGCAAAGCCTTGTCAATAGGTAGCAAGGTTTCATAGGACTCTTAAGTAACATTTTTTTTAACTGTTATTACTTATTGACTCTAGCTACTCCTCAAAAGGAGGGTTGGGCAATCCTACTTCCGTAGTGATACTGCCTCAGAAACCCAAGGAGGGGTCGCTATGAGTTGGGGCCGACTCGACGGCAAACAACAACAACAACAACAACAACAACAACTGGACTACCTACTTGTGATACATGCTGTGTTTTCAAACCCTGATTAATGAAATCTTCCCAACATACTTCCGAAGTAGGTATTATTATCTCTATAATTTTTACACAGGTAATATATAGGAAAGTAACAGACTCCGGAGATATACTAAATTCTACCAAATGTTAAACAAATGCTATTGTTGACAGACATGCTATTCATCGAAAGTGAATCTCTCCTTCAGCGTGAGCACCTTACTCAGAAGAACTGTTTCATTTAAGTACCTTGTACTTCTGTCTCAGCTCTTCCGTATCTTCCTTTTCCACCTCCAGGACACGGCGCCGTTCGGTAGCATCTTCAGCATAATCGAGCTTAACAAAAATAGTTAGTTTTAACTCCTAAAATACCTCAGAATTAGCTATGAAAAGTCACTTCTACAACTACAGTGCTGCTTGAAAATAACAAACTTTATATTTTGCTTTAGCTACCTCTTGATTTGTCGTCACCTCACAGAGAAAAGAGCATGCAAAACACTTCATTAATACTTTCATACTGGTGGTTCCTAACAGGCACATTTGCTAATAAATAAAACACTTCAATGTTCGTTGCCAAAGAATTAAGAATAAACAAGAAAAATATTTCAGGTAATGAAAAGTAGGTGATCACTGTACATGACTCTAGAAAGGCAAAGTCTTTACCACAGCAAATATTTTAAGAGTTGAACAGCTCTGCCTACTGAAATGTACAAGAGGACCTGAGTCAAAGTTTGATTTTACCTTGCTGTATAACCCTGACCAACAACTCAACTTCACAACTCAGTAAAAGTGAGAGTATTATTTACTATCTACCTGCCTCATAGGTAGTACTAAGTGAGAATACAAAATAGTATTTCAAAATTGTTGAAAGAAAAATACTGAAACTACATTCCATCTAATAACTATCTTCTTGCATTGGTAACCTGAATCTGGAATTAATATCAATGTTAAATTCCATAAAACAAGTAAGTTAATAAGATTGATTTACCTCCATTTCCATGCGACCCATGCCCATGACATCATACTTGACAACGATTGGAATGGGATCTGTTCTCCCTGTAACAGGAACACAAAATCATGGTAAGACATACAGCCAAGCCAACAGCTTGCTTTACACATTGGGTTTGGGTGGTTAGAGATCTTGCCTTGGAGTGCAGAGACCAGAAAGCTACAGTGAACCAAACACAAGCCATTCTCACAGCTTACAACCAAACCTCTCTCTCCCAGTTTATATCCAACTAACCACCTTGGCTGAACCTGTGGTTGGGGATAATTCCCTATTTATTGTAGCAAGATTAAATGAATAAGAAATGCAAAGCCTTCCAAGCAATGGTACCAGGAGGTTTAAAATCAAAAACTTTTTTTTAAAAGATCACAAAATGACCTCCCATCATGAATCACTTCATTCTCACTGACCACTGACATCTATCCCCACCCCCCCATACATACTTTTTAAACTGGTAATAATATCTCAATTGATATGCTTCAATCAAAAAGGTACATTTTTCAAACATGATACAAGAAAAACTATAATTGCAACTCAGTATATTTAATACTTTTTGTTTATTTTCATAAGATGTTTTACAAGTAAATGAGACTGAAAAAGCAACAGTTAGTTGCTTTTTGGGACAGAGATTAGTTTTACTTTTTAAAGTTGTGCTATGAAGTCCTATCTCCCACAGTGGATTTAACACTGGCAGTGGCAACCGGTAAGCTGTGAAAAGGACTAGTTGCGAAGAAAATTGACTTTAAACTAATCAATCTATGCTGGAGATTTTTTTTAATGTATACTTAATCCACTCATAACCAGCCAAACAAAGCAAAATGGGGCAGACAAGCACTTTACTACCACAGCTGTTTTACATCACAACTTGCGCTGTTTATTGTGATGTAAGCCCACTGAAAAGAGGACTTACCTTATCCGTTGTACACCTTTAGTGAAAAAACACAATGTTTACTTCCCTCATCACTTCACTCAGGCTGGTGTAAACAATTGTTTTTGTTGTTGTTGTTGTTTTGTTTGTTATACGCACATATATATTATACCTTTGGGCCAAAAACTGAGTTTTGCCTAGCTAAATCTGAGGCATTACCCAAAAAAAAAAAGATTATGACTAGGATTGAGCCTAGGGGAAAATGAAGAAATCGTTTTCAAAATGACACGCAATCTTTTGTATCCAGTTGCTCTATACTTGTAGGATTAATTTTTGTCTTAAAAAGCAATGAAAAACAAATTCAGAAGTTTAACCCTTATCATCAATATCCCATTATTGCTTTAAACAACAAATAAAATAGGGATATAATCAGATACAATCATCATTGTGGAAAAAAAAAAGTTTAAAATAATACCAGCAAAAAAAGAAGAAAAAGTTCTACAATACAGCCTTCTTTTAGATCTATCAAAGACTGCCAGTTAAATAAAAATGCATTACTACTTTTGCCCAATGGTATAATAAATAAGCAGTGACTGCAATCTTTAGCAAAAGGACCAAATTAAAGACAGGTTATAAAAATGACTTCCTAGGTGCAATATCACTTTCATAACGTCTCAGTCAGGGATTTACTGATGAAAACAAATGGTCCAATGAAACAATTGAAAATTTTTTTTTTTTTAATTTTGGTATCCTTTTTGGTCTGCCGGAATTTGTTTGTTTTATAAGAATCAAAAAAATTTTGGTACAAATTCATTACTTCTGTAAACCCCTGTATATAAACTCTGTATTAGTACTTTTGCCCTCTAAGGCAGTCAAAGTTTGTTTTATTTATAAATTGCAGTAGCAAGTGCTAGTGCCCGTGACATTGTGGGGAATCAACTTTTAACAGTATTAGAATTTAACGTTTTGACTGATTGTTTTGGCCGTTCTAACACAAACAGATACATCCCTTCTTAACATTACCCTTTAATGAACAAGGATCAGACAAGTTGCATAAGGAAAGGAAAGGAAAATGAAAAAGACCAAGCAGAAGGATGAAGGCTACAACAGAGAAAGTAAGCCTAACATTGGTGCACTGATGACAAAAGGAGTAATTCAGTCTGAAAATAAAAAATTACCACTGCTAAGTTTACCATCACCACAACAAGTCCAGGATCATAATGCTGTAAAAAAGAAACACCATTTGTTAGGCAGAAACCATTAGGGTAGGAAACAGGCCTTCTAGCAGGCTGACAGGATGGGGGTACAGTAACAATTGGGCTTTGTCCCTCCCCCGGTTTCAGCTGGGGATAGAGCAAGGACACTGTGCTGCAGGAGCTGTTTTCATCCTGGTAGGATCCAGGTGTGAATTTTTGTACTGTTACTGGAGGACTTGAATCTCCTCCTCCTCACTAATGCATGCAGAGGGAAGGTGCCAGGTGAAAGTGAGAAGTGGCTTGAGCTTTCAATCTCTCATTTTGGTAAATCAGCATTGGGGCCTAAGGTGAGACTTTTCCTTAAAGAAATCACATCAAAGACTCAATCAGATCAACTGACAATTGATCAAGTCATTTGCTTCACTGAAAGAACTCCAGGAGGATGACATGGGCAGGGAGGGTGGGTAGAGTTCTCAACACCTCCCTAAAAACATAACAAGAAAGAGGCCTGGAAAATAACTTTAGATCTTCAGTGTGCGGAAAACGTATGTGCATTTGAGTTCTGTTATGAATTAATGAACATTTTTAGTAGCTCTCCTTAGAACTTTGTTTCTTTTCGAACAGTTTTCTCAGGCTCCAACATCTTTCTGCATACAACAAAGCCAACCTTTGAAGGAGTCCAGAGAACGTAGCATTAAAACAGTTGTCACATTTATAGTTAGTCCACTCAGAGGTAATACACAGAAAATAAACAATATGGCTGTCAAAGTATTCTGAAGGTGACATTACTGCCTAGGCTAAGCAGTAATTTCTTTCCAAAATTAAAAAAGTTCCAAAACAAGAGGAAAATCCCAGTGCACACACGAAGAGCTTGTATAATAAATAAACAAATCCCCTTCAATTTATTCATCTGCTATCAGTGATAAATCCTGTCATAAAAGACTATGACTTGGGATACCTAAATAACAACTTACAATGATAATTTTTCAAAAAGAAGATAGTAACAGAATGTCTGCTAATATGAAATTTTCTAGAAAACTCAATTTTCTTTTAAAATAAAATGAAGTAAATCTAGGTTCCCTATTTTTTGGCTTCTTTTAAAGGGAGCAAATATTTTAGAATGCATTAAATTTTGAGGATTATTTATTATTTTTTATTCCAAAAGAGGCAACTTTAACCAGAATATTAAATATTCCCTTTTAAAAAAATTATCTTCCTCAGCTTAAGATCTACAGACTAATGACTATAATGGGGCCAACTAGAAGGGGAAAGAAAGAAGAAAACACATACCAAACCCAGACTGTGCCAACACTAATGAATTCACGTGATGAGGGGAAAGAAAAAAATCCCTATTTTCTAAAGCAAAACTTTAAATGGTATTTCACTAACCAATCGAAATTCTATTTTCTGTATTTTAAAAGGCAGTCTTATTTATACAATAACCAAGTGTCAAAATGTTCACATATGCAGCTCTTGTGAAAATGTAAAGGCATTATGACTTACTGTAACTGAACAGAGTATTAGGCCAAACAAAAAAATCCACCGATCACCTACAATCACCCAGTTTCTAAAGAAGCCCTCATGAATCAGTTCTGATTTTGAAGTAGTAAGGGTATATCAACCTACAGAGAACTGGCTCAAAAAACTGGATTATATATCAGGGAGTGAGTCACCAGGCCTGCAGGCTCAGGACTATGATCTTGGGTGACATCAAGCCCAACTGGCACAACATAGTAAATAAAAATCTTGTTCTATATCCTACTTTAGTTAATAGCAACTGGTCTTTAAAGCTTTCAAGAGGCCATCTAAGATGCAAATACTGGTCTCCCCTTGTCTGGACCAAAGAAGAATGAAGAAAATCAAAGTCATATAGAAACAAATAGTCCAAGAATATGATGGACCACGGGGACCTCAGCCTTTCATGACCCTGAGATCAGAAGAACTGGATAGTGCCCATTACCAATGCCAACCACTTGGAAAAGGATCAAAATTAGAGATCCTAGATAGAGTGGAAGGAAAAATATGGAACAAAATTCAAACACCCAAAAACGACCAGAATAACTGGCCAGATGGACACTGGTAGAATACCCAAGACTATGGACCCAGGTTATCTTTCAGGCCTGGAACTGGACTCACTTCCGTGGATTAACTCTCAAATAGCAGGAAGGACTACAAAAAGAACACCCACCCCAGGGAGATGGACCCCTTAGATCAATCAACTGTGAGGGATCAGAAGAGTAGTATTTGCACAGAGGGAAAGCTGGACAGACAGGAATGCACAGATAAGTAGGACACAGGGAAGGAGTGTCACAGTGATGAGATGGGAGAAGAGCTTTTTATTCTTGGGATTATAATCGGGGCTATGAAAGCAAATGTGCATGAGCTGTTGAGAGTAAAACAAATCTGCTTTGTAAATCCACACCCAAATCACAGTTAAAAAAAAAAATTTTTTTTAAAAACCATTACATAACGTAATAAAAAGTTCATAAAGGAAAACGACGACTATAGAAAAATACTTCTTTGGGGAGAAAGGGGAACTATATCTTTTTTGGGGGAGGGGGATGATTTGGGTGAAAGTTTACAGAGCAAATTCATTTTCCATACAGCAGTTCATACACATTTTGTCTCATGACATTGACTGCAATGCCCTATAATGTAATAGCTCTGGTTCCTACTTCCTTGGGGTAAACTACACTATTTTTAAAAAGACAAGCTCTACAAAACAAGGAGATACCATCCTGCTCCAGCACTAGTAGCAAAGTTCAACAAGACACAAAATAACAAATGCTGACCAGGATGTGGAGAGATGGGAACTCTTATACACTGCTGGTGGGACTGTAAAATGGTGTAACCACTGTGGAAAGCAATATGGTGATTCCTTGAAAAGTTAGAATTAGAAATACCATTTGACCCAGCCATCCCATTACTAGGTATATATCCTAAAGAAGTGAGAGCCATGACAAGAACAGACATATGCACACCCATGTTCATCGCAGCACTATTTACAATAGCCAAAAGATGGAAACAACCTAGATGCCCATCAACTGAAGAACGGATAAACAAACTATGGTACATACATACAATGGAATATTATGCAACCCTAGAGAATAATGTAGAATCTGCAAAACAACGCATAATGTGGATGAACTTGGAGGACGTTATGCTGAGTGAAATAAGTCAATCACAGAAGGACTAATATTACATTAGTCTGTTATTGTAAAAGTCAAGGAAAGGTTTATCTATGGAAGGAAATTTTCTTTGCTGCTTACCAGGGGTAAGAGGGGAGGGGAGGGAACACTGTTAGATAGGTAGAGATAAATATTGATTATTTGGGTGAAGAGAAGATCAATGTACCAAATATGAGTGATCAACACGGTGGCACTGAGGCTGAGGAAGACAGAGAGGTACATGGGAGGTACAGACAACAAAGATGAACCCTTTTGCACATACAGTACTGCATTGTCAGTGAAGGCAAACATGGGTATACAGGTGGATAGATGGGTAGACAGGCTGAACTAGCAGGTATGTCTATGAAGTGGAGAGTGTACCCAAGACCATGTATAGGGTTGGCAGACAATGGTGCTGTAAGTGTATTTGTATGATCTGTAAGAATTCCCAGGTGTATAGTAGAGCTGACAAGGGACAAGGTTGTAGTTACTTCTTGGTCACAGCCAGCGACCCAGAGGGACCGAGTAGTTGAACTGCTGGGCTTGGGACCACAGTCACAGGGGACATCAACCTCAACTGGCATACCATACTACACAAAACATCGTTCCAACCTCCTACTTTGGCGAGTAGCAACTGGGATCTTAAAAGCTTGCAAGCAGCCAACTAGATGCAACGATGGGGTCTCTCCTCATCCAGAGCAAAGAAGAATGAAGAAAACCAAAGATTCATAGAAACAATTAGTCCTAGCAACTGATACACCATGCAATCCACAGCCTATATGACTACAAGACCAGAAGAACTAGATGGTGCCCAGCTATCAATGTCAACCACTTGGAGGGGGATCAATGTAGGAGACCCTGGATAGAGAGGGAGAACAATGTGGAACAAAACTCAAAATCATTTTGGGGGAAATAAAAGCAGGGGGAGACCAGGTTTGCTGATGTAATAGAGCCTGGTGAAACCACTGAGACTATGGCTCCTAGCTGCCCTTCAGGTGTGGAATTGAACCCATACCTGTGGCTTCCAGCCAAGCAAAAGATAGTCATAGGAGCTGGACATTTACCTGAGGTAGATACACTCCTTGGAGAGAACAATCATGGGAGAAAGAAGGGCTGCTTATGCACGGGGAGACAGCTCAGGGGGCAGGAGTGCATGGAGGGATGGACACAGGGGAGAGGTAACTATTGGGAGGAAGCGGGAGGGGAGTTGTTGCATTGTGGTAAGAGTCAGGGTCCAACTTGACAGCAGCTAACGACGACTGGTAACAATAACATAATCTTGTAATCAGCCACACTTCAGAAACACAAGACATATAACTTCTCTGTAGAAATAAATTAGAAATGAATATACTTCCAAAGGGTTAAAACACTGGTTGGACTGTCAACACATGTAAGAACACAAATTTACTTTTGCTGCTCTTCCTCTTAGAGTGTCTAGGTGGTACAAACAGTAGAAGAAGAAAAAGAAAAAATAAGACCAAAAAAAAAAAAAAAAACCCACCATAGAGCTGTCCAACACAAAGCGTGAACCCTAATGTAAACTATGGACTTTAGTTAATTATAATGTGTGAATACTAACTCATCAATACTGTACCACAACAATGCAAAATGTAATAATAGAAGAAATAGTGAGCAAGGGGAAAAAGGGGAATATAAGAACTTCTGTACTTTCTATAAATTTTTTCTGTTAAACCTAAAGTTGCTCTACAAAAAGTCTTTTTAAAAGAAACAGACAAAAGGCCATTAAACTGATAAAGGCCAAGAACTTGGTATCTTTAAACCTATTCATTTCTTGTTTGAAGCAACTCAAATATCTATGTGAAAATCAAGAATAAGACAAAATTAGGAAGGTGACTATTT